AAAGCTGTTTCTGTGCTGTGATGAGCTCTGAAACCTGACTGAAACTCTTGTTGTGTCAAACACATCTGATGTTGTGTTGTCTGCTTCTTATAAAGTGTTTTTCTATTCTGAGCACTCAAGCACTTTATACTATGTATGTGTGTTCTGTCTAACATTCATGCTGGAGCTTGTTTATAACATGTTTCTCAGCTTCGAACAATAAGAAACACGCGCTTTCCTGCAACTGGGGGTGTCGGAGAAGGTGAAGGTACACCTGCACATCTGGAACACCAGCACAGTACACTTTTACCTGAGCCAATCAGCCGTCACGCTGCAGAGCTGCATCAGAGACTGTGGAGAGGAAAAATGTTGCCACATGACCTCGGTTCTCTGAGAGAGTCCTCAACGAGCTTCCTCAGTGCATGCTCAGACCTCCTCCTCACTTTATTTTTAGAGCAGGTCTGCTCTGGATCAAGACTCTGGGCTCAGGGCCGAACTCTTACACACACACACAGAGCAGTGACGTCTTCTGTTTCTATAACAACAGACAAACAGCCAATGAATGGACCGAATGCTTGTGATGTCACTGCGATGTCACTGCTCAGTGCCACGTGAAAACATGATGTCTCGCGCCGGATTTCTTCTGTGCAGAGCTTCATGCAGGTGCATCATGAGTTCATGGCTGTGTGCTCTTGTCCTGCTGTTTCATCAGCAGTTGCGGCCAAAGAAGTGAAGTGCTGAGACTTTTCCACCTCCGAGTCCTCGCTCTTTGTTGTGGTGAGGGGCAGACAAGTTTTCCATTTCTTTGTTCTTCCGCTCGTGTCCATCCTGATTGTTTTACTGATCTCTCTCTGACATCTGGGAGTCCTTACACTAAAGTAATGATCATTATCCTCTGATAACTTCTGAAAACCCAGAGGAAAAGCTTTAAGTAAACAGGAGGAACAGATGGTGCTCCACAGACCGATCAATGACGCGACGTGTAGTTACACTTCCAGGTAAATCCTCAGTAGGGTTCAGGGTTCAGACTGAAGCAGTATCAAAGGTTCTCCTCAGTCCTGGTTTGAAATCATGACCAGATCCAGATCCTGGGGACAGTCGCACGTTGTCAGCTTTCTGTAGAAAATCTGGGTCAGTTAGCCACTTCCTGTCATTAGGCCTGTGTGTGGTTTCTTCCTGTTTATCTCTCTGGGATGTTGAGTAAAAGTTTGAGATATGAATCTCAGTGAACACGATGGCTTTATTTCATATTTACATTTCAAACATTATGTGTAAGGACTTTTAAAACCACGCAGGTGAACATGTAAACATGTGGACACAAAGATTAAACAGAAAACGAGCTCGATGGCTTCTTCCTTCAGCTCACACATGCTGACATGCACGCTGCGATTCATGGAGCGAGCCGGAGTGAACACATTAAACCAACGCGGAGGTTAGTCTGATGGTTCGAAGGTCATCCTGAAACTCACTCATTGAGTTTCTGATGTAAACATGTGGGTCAAAGGTCAAAGCTGTAGCAGACAATAGGTCAGAGGAGGATTTTCAGGGAACTGTCCCTTTAAGAGCCTTTAAATGAAAGTGTCTGAAACACATCAGTTTGTTTAGAAAGTGTGTGTGTGTGTGTGTGTGTGTGTGTGTGTGTGTGTGTGTGTGTGTGTGTGTGTGTGTGTGTGTGTAGGCTGTAATGAATAGTGAATAGACAGCAGTGTGTTTGGTTTTAAACACAGAGACTTCATTCACATCTGCACAGTCACAGCTGTTTATTCACCCTACCACCCCTCCAGCCCCACCACTCCACTCTACGCCCTAACTCCCCCACCCCCACCCCCGCCCCACAGTGATCGCTGTTTGTAGGACCGTTGAAATGAAAAACAGATGGACTATTAATAGCGCTCACGCTCTCGTCTCTGATGACAGGAAATGAGGGACAACCTCTGCAGAGTGTCACTTCCTGTCTGGGCCCGTTTTCAGTCCAAAGGGGCTGTGCTGAGAACACAAGGAGAACAGCTAGCCTTCGTGTTGTAGCTTGGTCCGATTCAGTCCACCTTTCATTCCTTTAAAGTGTAAAACAAACGCATTGAAAGGACCCCGCGTGTGCGTGACGATGTTTTAACCTGCAAAGTGAAAGAGAGTGATCCTAACCTCCAGGAGGGATTGCTTTAGTTCATCCTATTTAGCTATGATCCTGATGTCCTTTGGGACTTTGTTTAACTACAGTTTAACTACAGGAAACCACACCAGCCGATAACTGACCCTCGAGAATACTCGAGCACCATCCAAACTACTTTAAAACAGTTTGAGGGGTCCTGAATGCAGTCCTGAATTCGGACTTCTCTTAGATTCTCTTGGTGGGGGTGCCTGAATGCAGAGGACACAGGTTAAACTGCTGACTTTACCCAATAAGAAGTCACAATGGTGCATTCATGGCATTTAACAATTTCACACAAACGAGTTTAACACATGAACTCAGAACACACGTCACATTTACAGATGCTGAAACACACACAGAAACAAACAGAGTGTATTCATGCAGCTCAGACGGCTACTTTGCAGACCGTCACGAGGATCTCACACACACACACACACACACACACACAC